AAGAAAAAATAAAAGGCACCCAAATTGTAAAGGAAAAAGTAAAACTGTCATTATTTGCAGATGACATCATACTATATATACAGAACCCTAAAAATTCCACCAAGAAGCTTCTAGAACTGATAAAAATATTCAGCAAAGTTGCAGGATACAAAATTAATACCAAGGACTTCCAGTCAACCTGGAGGCATAAGTAAACAGCTCAACTCCTCATACAACCTAGCAAAATTAAAGCTAATCTACAGAACAAATACCACCCAGAATGGTCAGATAATTGAACTGTATGGAAGTCTAACAACTAAAGAATTAAAGAAACCACATTTAGTCACACAGGTAGGAGGGATGAAGGGGCAGAGATACAGAACAGGCTGGTCACAAACCCATGTGTGGTGAATAAAAAATGATGGGATATCTCAGGAGTAAGGTATTCCAGCCCCACACCAGACCACCCAGCCAGGGTTCTAATGCCAGGAAGATAAGTCCCCATAACTTCAGGCTGTAAAAAACCAGTGAGGATTGGGTCGGCAGAAGAAACTGTGGGATTCTCAGACCTCTCCTCTTATAGGGCCTCATATTGCACATGGACTTACTCAGACTCATTCCCTCTGCACTCTAGCACTGGGGTAGCACTTTGAAGGGCACCAGTGACATATGGGGAACTAAAGTGTCTGGCATCAGGGCAAGAGCTGAGGGACAGCCTCCTCCCAGACATAACTGCAGACAGAAGCCCTTGTACCTTTTCTGAGCCCTTATGTAAACAGAAACACAGTGTGGTGGCACCATATCTGAATCTCCATCAACTTGGCTTTCACAGTAAACCCTGTCCTGACAATTACCTAAAGGTCTGCCCCATCCAACTCATAGGCCAAGCTGATAACAGTGGCTTTTCCTTATGAAAGGTTAGGCTAGGCACAAGCTTCAGACCTTCCTAAATCTTCTCAAGCAAACAACAGCTGAGCTCAGCCCCCACACCTCTCACTGAGTGGCCCCGGGCCCAGCACTAGTAGCAGTCACCTGCAGATCATTTTATAGCTTACACCAAGGGGCCCGAGACAAAACACAGGTAGAGGCTGACCTTGGCCGGTACCACCCTGGAAACCTCAGAGCCTGTGCCTGCAGTGGACAGTTACAGACCATGTCCGAGTACCACCCAAACCATCTCCATAAGCCATGGAAGGAGGTAATTGCTGGCCAGGGGTCATAGCCAGTTCTACCAGCTATCTAGACTGGGTAAATCCTTCCCATTGACCTTCTGACAGCAATCAAGACGCATCTACAAGAGGAGGGAGTGCTCAGCCCATGTGGAAGGCACATTTTGAGTACCCAGCTTGGAAGACAGGGGAGGCTGTGCCACTGGACCCTATAGGACACAAATTACATCAGGCCATGCTACCAAGACACAGAATCAAAGCAGCTCTACCTAATACATAGAAACAAACACAAGGAGACTGTCAAAATGAGAAGACAAAGAAATATGGGCCAAATGAAAAAACAAAATTCCAGAAAAAGAACTAAATGAAATGGAGATAAGCAATCTCTCAGATGCAGAGTTCAGAACACAGGTTATAAGGATGCTCAATGAACACAATGGGTAATTCAACAGCATAAAAATGGCCCAATCAGAAATGAAGGAGACATTAATTAAAATAAAGAACAATTTACAGGGAATCAATAGCAGAGTGGATGAGGCCAAGGATCAAATCAATGATTTGGAACATAAGGAAGAAAAAGACATCCAATCAGTACAGCAAGAAGAAGAAGAAAAAAAAATAAAGGATAGTGTAAGGAGCCTCTTGTAGAACTGAAAATGTTTCAAAATTCATATCATGGGGGGCATATGGAGAAAAAACAAGAAATCAGAAACATATTTGAAAAAATAATAAAAGAAAACTTCCCTAATTTGGTGAAGGAAATAGACATACAAGTGCAAGAAGCACAGAGAATCCCAAATAAGATGGACACAAGGAGGACCACACCAAGATGTATCATACTTAAAATACTAAAGGTTAAAGATAAAGAGAGAATCAAAAGCAACAAGAGAATAGCACATAATTGCCTACAAAGGAGTTCCCATAAGACTGTCAGCTGATTTCTCAAAAGAAACTCGTCTGCAAAGGCTGTCCAGCCTTGCCCTTAGTCTTTTACCAGAGCACGTTTTCTCACAGAGAATTTCCTACCTGTAGCATTCTTTGGAATCTGGAAAGGCCAAAACTCTCCCAAATCATCAAGTGCTGGTTCCTTTTGCTAAGAGTTCCTTCTTCAATCCATTCCCTTCCTCTCATATATACTACAGGCAGCAAAGAAAACAAGGGTACACCCTCCACACTTTGCTTGGAAGACTCCTCAGCCAGATATCTAAGTTCACTGCTTACAAGTTCTGTTTCCTTGAGTAGTAAATCAGAAAATCATAGAGCTATTGATACTAAAAGGGTTGAAAAGTAGGCTGGGGGAAAACAGGTACACAAAAGCAAGAGGAGCATTAAATTTATGTGTGCCAAACTCCTTCCACATATCCAAGTAATATAAATATGTAATTGGGATCCGATAAATAAGTTATATCTTGGTAAGGACAAGAAGAATAGCAAAGACCTCAGAACATGTCCCCACTCAAACATCCCTGTCTACTTAATAAGGCTATCACAGCCTCAGCCCTCCCCCATACCCTTGGCCCTAGCATTGCAGTCACTGATCCTGTCATCACATATCTTTTCCTCCCTCTATACTCTAGAGTCTAGAGCCTCAGGTATTACCAATTCTAAGTCTGTCTCCCACACAGCCATCTTCTGACACTTCCTTCCTACTACTAGCTGCTCTCCCAGGCTGCAGACATGTCTTCCCCCAGGGCAGAGGGATGTTGGATTAGGGGGGCCTCAAGGGGTCTGCCTAAGGGAGCACAAGAAATAGAAAGAAATTTAGTATTTAATTCATTCTCTGTTCCAGCTAAGTATTAATACACAATCACTATTAGAATCTTAAATTTGTTAAATATAAATTAGGTTTATTTTCATAATTTTGTGCTATTTTTTAAGGTTTATGCTTTTAGTTCTTATACAACATAGATCTGATTTAATCCAGGACTAATGGCCTTCAGAGGAGGATACACAACAGCCAGTTGAAGAGGGAATGATGACCCACAGTGTCAATGAAGGCCCTAGGACAGGGAAGGGCAGGGCCTCACCCTCTAACTCCTGCTGCCACACCAGGGAGCCCTGAAACCTGGCCAGCCTCAGGCATACAAAAAAAGCTTTTCTTTGGTTGGTCCTCCCTGATCAGGAGACTCCTCCCTGTTACCCCTAGTCCTGCATGAGGAAACAATAGTTACACTACCATAAAATAAGTGGAGGGGGAAGAATTAAACCTGAATTTTCCTTTACCTAGGGAAAGCCCTGGCCATTCCTCTTACCCTTAAAATGCCCTTTCCTAGATCGTCTCTGGATGCCCTAGACCAGGAATGGCCAACACAAAGCACAGGTGTTCCTTTGCCCTCCCTTTGCTCAGTGATGATACTGAAATCATGGCCTTCCTTGCCCCAATGTGATGGTTAATTTTGTGTCAACTTGGTTGTGCCACTGTACCCAGATATTTGGTCAAGCATTATCCTGGATGTTTCTGTGAGGGTCTTTTGGGTTGAGATTAACCTTTAAATGGATAGACTGAGTAAAGCAGATGTATTTCCACTGTGAATGTGAATATAATCCAATCAGCTGAAGGCCTGAATAGAAAAAAACACTGACCTCTCCAGAAGAAGAGGAAATTCTGCCAGCCTTCAGACTTAAATTGCAACTCTTCCCTGGGTCTCCATCTTGCTGGTCCACCCTATGGATTTTGGACTTGCCAAACCTCACAATCATGTGAGCCAATTCTTTAAAATACATCTCTCTCTCTCTCTCTCTCTCTCCCCGCCCCTCTCCCTCCCTCCCTCTCTGTATACACACACACACACACACACACACACACACACACACACACACTTTTGGTTCTGTTTCCCTGGTGGACCCTGACTACTATAGCTAGTGAGCTGTAGAGCTGTATCAACACATAGCCCTCCAAGGAGAATTCCCATTATCATGCAAACTAAGCTCATTTACCAAGGGCTGTGAATACATCCTGGTTGTATGTACAGGGCCAAGTGTCCCTGGTTGAATACACAGGGCCAAGTATGTGCTGCCACTTCCCTGTACTCTGGGTTCCTCTAGAACTAGAGAATTGCCCTGGACACCAAATTCCTAGTAGGGTCTTCCTACTTCTAACTAGCCTTGTTCCCTACCTTTATACCCCCTGAGTAAAGGGGGAATAAATGGGCAGTTAGGAAGGCTATAAGTTTTTCTTCTCCTGTAAACTAAAGCCATAAGAAAAGCCCAATGAAGAAGGAAAGTATCAAGGCCACTGAACATCTTTTAAATTGGAGCTAGTCAGAAGTTGCCCCAAGTTTGGGGAGATGGGGAGACATCCAGCTGTACATCCTTCTCACAGGTCTCCAAAGAGATGACATGGCATCTGCCAGCTGTCACTAGGAGTGTGAAACTCATCTATATGTCTTCCAGTTTGTATAACTGAACAATACAAAATTCTAATTGTGTTTAATTTGAAATTTTTGTGATTAAGAGGAAGGTACCCAGGAATGAGTCCAACATGTACTTGCCACCCTGACACAGGGAGCTTATAAAAAGGGGATTTGCATCTAGCACCTTACTTGTTGACCACATAGTGCCGAGCCCAATGCACCTTCTGGGGTCTCAGTTTGGTTATCTATAAAGGACACCTACTTGGGAAGTTCATCATGGGTACATCATAAACTTCCAAAAGTGGTCTGTTATATACAAATTAGGGGAGAGGTAGTTCTAGAATCCAGTCAAGGCATGAAAGGAGATGGAGCAGAGCAGAGCCAGCTGGCCAGCCCTAGGAAACAGACTTAGCAGGCTAAGCGGTTACAGACAAAGAGGTCATCCCTCTCCCTTTCCACTAGAGAGAAAAGGCAAAAGAAAGAATAAGGTAAAACTGACCTTGAGGGCAGGAATCTCCACACTGTCACCGAGGCTGATGGAGCCTGAGAGGATGGTCCCTGTCATCACAGTGCCCTGGCCTTTGATGGAGAAACAGTGGTCCACAGACATGAGGAATGGTCCCGAGGGATCTCTCGTTGGGATGGATATCTGGGACGTCAGGAGCTAGAAAAGAGATGCTGCTGCCACATTCTGTCAGAAGAAGACTGGATGGGGCAGGGCAGGGGAAGGCAGAGGGTGTGACAGTACCCAGGCAATCTGCTTTTTCTTTTCTGTTGACTTTCCACATGCTTAAACCTTAACCTGCCTGTTTTCCTCATGCCATCCATCTATGTGCTTGGAGATGGTGTCAGAGCTAATTACCATTAAAAAAATAAAAATGAAGACTGTATTATTCCTTTTATTTTGCTACTTTCTGTCAAAAAGTTATTTGGTTATAAATGTTCCCAACTCTTAATCTTGTGTTAACAATTCTTTTAGAAAAAGATTAGAAATTCAAAGCAGGCTAGGCCTGAGATTTGTGCAGAGGCTTCTTAAAGGAATACACAGCCCTGGCTGCTGTAGCTCAGTGGACTGAATGCTGGCCTGCGAACCAAAGGGTCACCAGTTCAATTCTCAGTCCAAGGCACATGCTTAGGTTTCGAGCCAGGTCCCTGGAGGGGGGCAAGCAAGAAGCAATCACACATCAATGTTTCTCCCCCCCTTTTCTCCTTCCCTTCCCCTCTCTAAAAATAAATAAATAAAATCTTTTTTTTTAAAAAAAGGAATACACAAACATCTTTTATAGCAATATACTTGTGGATTTTGCTTTAACACACCTGTACCAAGCTCCCAGACCAGTGATCTCTGGAGTTGGTGCAAAAGTAACAAAAGCATTACTCAGAAAATATTGGTTTTATTAAGACAGCAAGATGAACACCCCTGTGTAATTACAGAAACAGTGGTAGCACACAGTCACACCTGACCTTGGCTCTGTGGATCCAGGCAGACCCCAGAACCCACCAAAAATCAAACTGGTTGTGAATCCTAACTCTACCACATACTTGCCGTAAGACCTTGGGCAAGTTACTTAACTTCTCTGAATCTCAGATTCTTCCTACGAAAAATGGGAATGAATAATTTAAGCCTCCCAGGGTCACTATGAATGTTAATGATCTTGCATGTAAAGAGCTTAGTGCAGTTCCTAGTATGTGATAATCATTCCTCATCATCATAGTAAACTGAATAGCACTTCCGATCACATTATACACATTAACTCATTTAAACCTCACACCAACTCCACAAGAAAAATGGTGCTATTATCTTCCCTACTTTCTAAGTGAGGGAACTGAGTCAAGGGAGAGCAGGTCATGTGCCGAAGGTCACAGAGAGAGCAGGAGGTAGGGTCAGCACTGCAAGCCACCTGAGAGTCAATGCACCTCAGCACTCCAGCCTTCTGAGTTGCCTCAAGTGCTCAGCAGAGGCACTGCAGATCCCAGTCTCATTGCCATTTCCACTGAAGCATCACTACCCCCTCCCCACCTGTACCATGCCTGCTGGCTGCCCTGCGTGCCCTGTGAATGGCTGCACTCCCTCCCTCTGTCTACCACTACCCAACCTGTAGGAACAGCCTCTGGCCCATGGCTTTAGAAGATGAAGCTTCCACTGCTTTGGTAAAGGTCATAGGACCTAAGCGGCACTGCCACTACTACTGGGCCCATCTCCTTCCCCTGCCTCATGGGCCCCCAGGTGGGACACACTGGAGGTGCTGGAACAATCTGAAGTACTGAAACAAATGACATGGACCCATAATTCCAGACTAACAGGATCTGCTTTGTCTGTGTGGAGGTGTTTGACAAGAGAAAGGAAAAAGAAAGGCTTAGAAGGGTGGAAGCCTTCAGTTCTGTTTGGGATTAATTTTTAGGGAGAATGCATTATAGAGTATGGAGGTGGTTTAAAGGAACCACCTCAAAGTCCCCTTGCTGAGGCTGTCTCTTTCTCTCTCCGGCTGAGCAGGACAGAAAGGAACCTGCCTGAGCAGAGTTGGGGTGAGAGACCAACCTGGATCCAAGTTAACAGTACCTCAATGAGCTCTGAGATGCCCTGTGGAGCTTCTGTTTCAGGGGCCTCTGGTCCCCCAGGCTTAGCTGCCACAGCTATAATCGGTGCACCTTGGAACCTGGAACAGAAAAACAAGTCCCACCATCGTTAGTTAGATCATCAGCATGAACACAGAACACAAAACACATCTGTGAATCACCCAAAAAAGAATGCTGAGCACTCGGGTGTTCTCTCTTTTCCTCCTTTTCAGAAGCACCTAAACAGAGTGCCACTGCATTCTACTTGGCAGATGAGGAAATGGAGGCCCCAAAGGGAAATGTCTTATATTAAACGACAGATTTTAAAAGGGTATTCCTGGGTTTTAACCTCCACTTTCAGAACGCCCCCCCCCTTTCACAATGCCCCCCCCAGGAGGCAGCAGTAAACCCTGGCCCCCAGGCCTCTAAATTAAAGACCCCTTAAAGACCAATAAATACCTTTTAGTCCCCTTCAGAGACTCAGGTAATAATGGTGACCAAAAAGCCCCTGAAGATGCACCAAGGAAAGCATCTGTACCACCCCAGTGTAATGGAGGCCATTCCTCCTGGGACTTTGCCAGAGAGCCCCTTTTTCTTTAAGAAGAGATTTATCTTTTCTATTGGAAAAAAATGGAAAAGGGAAAATATACAACCCATCATCCCATCACTGTGATGTGCTTTCTTCTAACCTTGGTTCTTCAACACATTGCCAAGGAATTATATTTTTAACATTATGATTATAGTATGCACACAATTTTATATCGTAGTTTATTTGCCATTATATCATAAAGATTTTTCTGTTAAATGGCAGCAAATGCAACAATAACTAACTTGGCTGAGCCAAGCATATACCATGGGCACTTTCACTGAAACCTCACACCACCACTATGAAATTGTCACCATTTTATAGATGAGAAACCAAGGGTTAGAGAGCCAAATTAATTTGGTCCAAGTCACTGGCTATAAATCTCAAAGCCAAACTCCAATCCAGCCCATCTGATCCTAGAACCAAGGATCATAGTTTCTATGTTACCCTCCCACCTCCCAAGGCTTCCTCTTTCATTTTTAACAGCTGCATAACAGTGTGATCCAGAATTTACATGCCTTTTTCCCTACTGTTACTCATTTAGAACATTTCAAGTTTTTCACTATTATAAAATAACCCTATGATACACATGGTAGACATGACTGACACTTTTTTTTTTTTGCCTTCCTTTGAGATAAATTCATGGGGTATAAGTCCAAGACTCAACATACATTGAAAAATCAGCAAAATGCAAAATGGTCAAGACATTCAAAAAGCCTCTCCTCCAGAAAAGCAATCAGAACAGTGGCAAAATTATCAGAATATACTTTTTCAGAACTCTAGAAATTAACCAAAGGCTTGTGGCAATCTGTGGAATGTTTACTCAAGAAAAATCTGAATCTCAGTAAGAATAAGTTTTATAGCATTTTACTTTGCCTTATTCCCATTTACCCCTGCCCAACCAGCATCTGCAGAGTGAAAACCAGTAGGCTGAAGGTCACTAAATAATGCATAATGGGTTTGAATTCCATTAAAGCCCCTCTCCCAGAGAACTGTCATTATTTTTCCTATCTGGCAGTTTGCTGGAAGACCCCACTTGCCAGGCTATCCTTATTTGACCTGCTTTGCAGGCAAACAGCTTTTTGGGGGAGGGGGGGCAATTGCCTCTGATTATTTTGTTGAAAATAATCAGAAGCAATTGTTTAACATTTGCCTGAGGCAAATATAACAGATTGGCAAACAACAGGCTGACCATAAAGCTTAGATTTCTGGGACTCTAGGATACTTGTAGGCATAGGGCTGAGGGCATGCCCAAGGCACTGTGCATAATCAAAAAAGACCTGAGAAGGCCCTCAGCTCTGTTCACTTTGATATTCTATGCAAGCAAGAAGTGAAAGCAAAGGCAGCATGTTAGCTGCCAGCCTGAGCATTAAAAGCATGGCCCAACATGCACATAGAGACCCTTGGCAAAGATTGGGAGACATAATGGTTCCAGACATTTAAGGAAATTTCAAACTATTAGTTGACAAACTAACTGGGCAGAGGTTTCAGTGGTCACACATGGCTTTACAGAATTAGTTTATAAAAGTTACTAAAGAAATAATAGAAAACTATGGAAATGTGGGAGAAGGGGAGAATCTGATTTCCAATATTGCATTTTATATTATTTTAAATGTCAAGTTTTCAACGAAGTTCACAATACATGCAAGAAAACAAGATTATGATCCATAGTCAAGAAAAAAAGAGTTAAAAGAAACCGTTCCCGAGGAAGCCCCACTAGACAAAAACTTTATACCTTTTTCAGTAAAAACATTTTAACAAATTTATTGGGATGACATTGGTTAATAAAATTGTATGGGTTTTAAGTAAACAATTCTATAATAGATTATTTGTATATTGTATTGTGGGTTCACCACCCAAAGTCTAGTCTTCTTCTGTCACTATCTATCTGCCTTTACCCTCTTCTATCTCCCCCTACCCCCCAACCATTACTCTAGTAATCACCATACTATTGTCTGTGTAAATGAGTCTGGGGTCCTTTTTGCTTAATATTTCACCTTTCCATCCAAACTCCAAACCCCCTCCCATCTGACAGCTGTCAGCGTGTTCTCTGTGTCTATGAGTCTGTTTCTATCATGTTGTTTATTTTGTTCAGTAGATTCCACATATAAGTGAAATCATTTGGTTTTGTCTTTCTCCAACAGGCTTATTTCAGTTAGTATAATACTCTCCAGGTCCATCCATGCTGTTGTAAAAGGTAAGGTTTCCTTCTTTTATATGGCTGAGTAGTAGTAATCCATGGTGTTAATGCACCACAGCTTTTTTTATCCACTCATCTACTGATGGGTACAGGGGCTGCTTCTAAATCTTGGCCATTGTAAACAATCCTATAATAAACATAGGGGTACATATATTCTTTCAAATTAGTGTTTCAGGTTTCTTTGGATATATTCCCATAAGTGGAATTAATGGGTCATAAGACAGTTCCATTTCTAATTTTTGAGGTATCACCATACCGCTTTCCACAGTAGCTGCACCAATATGCACTCCCATGAGCAGAGCACTAGGGTTCCCTTTCCTCCATATCCTCACCAACACTTGCTGTTTGTTGAGTTATTGATGACAGCCATTCTGACAGGCATGAAGTGATATCTCATTGTGGTTTTAATTTGCATTTCTCTGATGATTAGTGATGTTGTATGTCCTCTTTGGACAAGTGCCTATTCAAGTCTGTTGCCCATTTTTAATTGGATTTTGTTCATTTGGTGTTGAGTTGTATACAGGACAGAGACTGCCCCCCCCCAAAATAGAATTATCTTCTGGAGGGTGGGCCCCTAGTAGTATAGGTTTCCACTCTTGGGGGAGTGTTATAGGAACTCATCTGTATCAGTATACGAGCTGGTAGTGCTGTGAGAGGCTGTGTTTGGCTTCAGTGAATTTTTTTGAAGACTCTTTCAATATGTTTGCCCATTTCATGATGGGTGATTTAGGTGTGCACCTGTCCACACTGTACTGAGTGTTGAGCAGTTTTTGATAAAAATAGCATGACTCTGTGTCCCACCCTCCCTATTCACCTGATCTCACCCCAAGTGACTTTTGTTTTCCCAGAAGAAAAATGCCCTCAAAGAGAAATGATTTGCAGATATGGAAGAAGTGGAACAAAAAACCAGCAGAAGCACTAAAAGGCATCAAAATCAATGAGTTCAAAAATTACCTTGAGCAGTGGAAAAAAAGTCTCAATAGGCATATTGCATCAAATGGAGAATAGTTTGAAGGTGACTGAAGTTTAAACATGTAAGAATAAATACACAATTTTTTAAAAATAAATTCTGGGGTTTTTAGGTCCCCCCATTACAATGTCTTCATATATTTTAGATATCAACCTATTATCAGATGTATCATTGGTAAATATGTTCTTCCATTAAGTGGGTTGCCTTTTCATTTTCTTAGTTCCTTTTGCTGTGCAAAAACTTTCCTCTTTGATGTCTCATTTGTTTGTTTCTTTTATTTAAATCAACTGTTTTAAGGATGTTCAAAGAAATAAAGGAAAGTATGTCTAAAGAAATAAAGGAAAGAATAAAGGTAATATCTCACCAAATAGAGAATATCAAAAAAGAGTTAGAAATTATATAAAAATGAACCAAATGGAAATTCTGGACTTGAAAAATATAATAACTAAGTTTTAAAAATCCACTAGAGGAGCTCAATAACAGCTTTGAGCAGGTAGAAGACTCAACAAACTGAAAGGTAGATTAATTGAGATGATCCAATCTGAGGAAAACAAAGAAAAAAGAAAGAAGAAAAAAGAAAGAATATGAACACAGCCACAAAGATATTTGAGACATCATCAAACACAACATAAGCATATGAGAATTTCAGAAAGAAAAGAGAAAAAGGGGCAGAAAGAATATCTGAATAAACTTCAAAAACTTCCCAAATTTGACTGTGAGATCCAAGATGGAAGAGGAGTAAGTAGAATCTACATGAACCTCCTCCCAGGACCAGTCTGGAATTACAACTAAATTGCAAATTTAGAATAAACAACTGAATAGTGAGAGAGAAGCATTACAACTACAGACAGACAGAAGAAACACCTTCAATACAACATGACTGGTAGGGAGTGCAGAGGAGACACTAGAGGGCTGGCTCCATAGACGGCAGCTGAAGTGCTGGAGGAATACTGCAGCAGCTGGGGGATCCCCCCTGAGAAGTGGGGGTCTGAACTGTAACCTGAGTTCCCCAGCCTACAGCATTAGAGCCCAAAAAGAACCAAGACAACATCCAGCTGTGAAAAGCAGCAGGGTTTCACTGTGCCAGGGACAGAGAGCTAGAGTCATAGAGAGCCATTTAAAGGGCCAATATATAAAACTTCATTTGCAGCTACTTATCCTGGGCTCCAGCAAAGGTGAGGCAGAGCGGACTGGACGCTTCAGGAAACACTGGGGACAGTGGCTTTGGGGAGAGAACTGAGAGAGCAGCCACCAGGATCCCTGTGCTGAGTCTCTCTGCCTTTATCAATCTTTGCTTGAAGGTTGTGGATAGGGTGGTTTTTGTTGCATTTCTTCAATTTCATCT